TTGCTCTCCTGAAACTATTGTGTATCACTCTGTTCTTCCATTTCTTATCTGACATGTTCACTCTTTTTTTCTTCTCCCTAGGTTTTCACAGTCTTTTTTTCATCTATGGAACAGCGAGAATAATACAACAAAAGCACTGTATAGTAAAACAAAACACCTCAATTACACACAGAAGCTATTCAGTGTAAATATTCTACTCAACAGTTAGCCCTTATCACATCTCTCCTTAACAGCCCTTTCTCAGAAAACAGCTGGGGCATACAACAGTTTATTTTCCCATAGCTTCTCTTGAAGAGACTTCTCTTTCACAGTCAGACTAACCTCCATGAAGTAGAGCCAATGCGATCTTTATTTCCTCCAAGGATTACTTTTCTTGGAATTTTATGTGTTACTTGTGATCACTGCCAGGCACTGATACTGGTGAAGAGGAGTAACTGAAAGATTATCCTCTTTTCAGTTCCAAAGCTATGCGACAAGTCTTACATGATATAAAACTGGAAAAAAAAATCTCCAGAGCTATCAAACTGGGTCAAATGATTATTCATACCCTGAGCAGCACACAGGAGCCAGTAAGACATGTATTCCAACTGCATTAAACACTGTATCAAAACAGCAAACACTAGCTACTTTCATAGTTAACATTAGTGTTATTATACTTACATTTACAGGTAACAAGACCTCTAAGTCCTACATAACCAGAGGACTATCTGCCTCTAGTTTTGATCGTAAAGTTTTAATGAAATATCTGCAGGAATGTTTACAAGAAACAGTCTGAGGTTCTAGATTCCAAATTGCTCAGATAAACAAGTATTTCTTAAGCCTTCTTTCTCAGTTACTCTGGAATTGTGATAGGCATGTGATTTTTTTAAGTAAGAATCTACAGAAGCAGTTTCAAAAAGAAGAACAGCCAGAAAGATCTTAGATGAAAGAAAAAACTTTTGCCTTGTCACATAAGCTTTCCTAAACCCTAATAGCAAACAGTAAGAGGTCAGCAACACCTTAATCCAGGAAACATCTTCCATTTAAGACTACCAAACCTCCTTACCAGTCATTTTCTACCACAAAATCTAATCTTATTTCTTATAAATCTTATTTCAACAGCTGCTGAGTAATAAACAAAGGGGCTCATGAAACTCTGTTCTGTTGACTTTCCAAGAGTGGGACAATCTCATTTACAGGGCCAAAGCATCTTAAAACTACAAACAACAGCTGCTTCAAAAATTATCACTTATCTAAATTCAACGGAGTGATTAAAACAGCACCTGAAGCCTACGGAGCTATTTCTACTTGGAAAAAGAACTAACAGCATGAGTTACTTCTTCAACGCAATTTTACTTACAGTGAGGAGGCATATGCTCCTCTTTCATTGAGCACTACTGGAATAAATTGGACTTTCTTTCCACAGTACTGTAAACTTGTCTTCTCAGCTCCTAATGCTCCTTGCCATTTACTTTTCCCTCACTCAAGCTTCATCTGACAACAATGGCTACCAAAACTCTTTGTCTTTACTTCTGAAGCTGATTTCTGCTTACTTTTTGATGCTGTGGACAGATGTGCTAATCCAAATCCAAAGGAGGTTTACGTGAGGAAACCCTAATTATTTAGCTCAGACCATCCAAACCACATAAGCTGAACACATTTTGTGCTCAACAGCACTGGCACAAATTGCTTTGCTGACAAACGTCTGCAGACGGTAACATCCAAATGGGAATGCATCAGAAGCTGGCATTGATGGCTTCTGCCAAAATAATGAATCCAGAATAGGATATTTGTTTGCAGCCTGATACAGGTACAACCTCCCATAATCCAGTGAATGCTCTACGCCTTATGCTTGCTGATGTTGCCCATTTCTGATGAATTCTGGTAAAGGTCAGTGGAGAACAGCACAGAGAGCTAAAAAGGTGTACAAAATTATACTCCAGTTGGTACTACCACACCATGAAAGCTTCTTAATTAAACTTCCATCTTTCATTTAACCAGTGCTGTGGACCTGCCAGGTCACTGGTACTACCCAGCACAGAAGCTCTAATCCTTTGAAGTTAGCTAAGATCAGTGGCAGGAAGTGTTCTACCAACTTCAACTCAGTCTGTGATCACACACAAACTTTAGATACCAACACTGACAGCTGCCAGCATTCTCAACCCCAAACATACTGTTCAACAAAACAAGAACTATTTAGTTTAACACTCATCTTTTTCAAGACATCTTAAACAAATAACCACTAAGACAGCGTTTCATTTGCTATCACAATTGTTCCAACTTCTGTTCAACTCTTTTGCGCTGACAACCTAAAAATCTTGTAAGATCAAAATTAATCTCTGAAAAGCCTATATACAAATTGGTTTAGAGTCCTACTCTTGTGCCCATAGCAATAAGATCTCTTAATTATGCACAGATGTAATTTGTATTTACATATGGTATACACACACTGAATGTATGCAGGAATATGCTTAAGAAACATCCATCTCTAGAAACAAATCATAGCTGATTTACAAAAAACTAGAGAAAGAAATCAGCAGTATACTGATATTAACTTACAAAGCTTCATTCTGAGCCTTCCTCAAAACAGGTATCAATATCAAAAGCATTAAGCCTGATTAATGATTTCCTTTTCTGTGTGCATGCATGAACTTCTCTGAACATTCATTTCTTCTGTCACATATTTGAAAGCACTTAATCAATTCTCAGAAGTGAACCACTAAAACAACCGCTCCTTTCACTGCCCTTTGATCTAATGTAACAACTTAGGCAGCTAAATAAATCCAATGATTAAGTTGGCAATTAGACAGTTCTGTGTTTTAAGGCATGGACTTTGATACCCATTCTGAAATTACTGCACAAATCTGTGGTTTTTAGCAAGTGAAATTATTTTAAGATTACTGAGCTTTTTTACTCCAGAGTTATCTTTCCAGCTTCTCTTCTCCCTTTCTTTAAGTTTGCTCAGCAACAGTACTCTGAATAATTTCAAGTGTATTTTACTTTCCTAGTTCCGAACAAGTTTGCAACTTTGAATGAAAACAATCGCAAAAAAGCAGCAAAATAAGTTATTTCTGAAAAATCTGTATTTATCTTTTAAAGGAAATACAACTCATTTTAGGCTTCATGCATCTCACAACCTTAGCAAAACCTAAAACTTTAGCCAAAACTAAAGTGCCAGTAAAATTTACTATGGTTTCTTTCTTTTGATTTGCCACGGTTCTTGCTGTACACTGACCTATTTATTTTTCTCTGAATGCTTTGTCCACATACTGTAGCAAATACATGAAGTAGAACAGTTGTCATCTTACAGTTATCTCTCCCAGACATTTTATTAGACGCTTGCTAAATATTCAACCATAATATACATAGTTATGTCAGTGGTTAAGAGATGAAAGTCTACATTACTTCACTCAGGAAATGAAGTGCAGGTTTCAGGCTTTTCATTGCAATATCCTTCAGTACATGGAACATAAATGTTTTTGCAGCGGATTGTTCAGCAAGTGAGTGATGCAATAGCTTACACAGCTAAGCCACTGTATGATTTCTAAGGCCACAGGGTTAATACATAGTGATAAGCTATTCAGTTATAATTGTAGCTTTCATGTCAGTTAAATTGAGCACTCTGAATATTACTTCACAGTCAAAACTTACTCTGTTATTTAAAAGAAATTTGAATTTTGATTCCCCTGAAATATAACTGCTTCAACATTTAGTTATATTAGCCCAAGGCAAAGATCAAATCCACAGCACTTGTTAGCACCAACAGGACGAGTAGCGTCTAAGAAAGGCAGAAAATCTTCATGAAGTTGTACATAAAGAAGCAGCATCTCACAGAATACAACTGGCCGTGACGGCATGTAGTTGAAAATTAAATAAAGATGTAATAATGACAATTTCTCCAACTACCTCAGATTTATTTTGTGTTTTCCCCTATGTATATATAGTATGAATACAATAGACACTTTTTAATTTCAAGAATGCCCTTTCTAGACTACTTCTGAACAGAATTATTTAATGCCTAGAAATCTCAGGTGATAAAGAGAAAGGGGTAACTGAGATCTATTTTAATGATCTCAAACATAATACAAGCAGAAGGATTTATCTGTAGAACGACAATCCTCCCTTCTTGCTTTAAAAAATCTAGGAGAAATTCAGATTTCTTTTAGACATAATAGTTTCCATGTGAAAATCTAGCTCACAAGCAAACGCAATGTAATCTGAAATACTGCAAAGCTAAAGTGTTAACAAACACCAATGTTGCAGCTGCCCAGACTACGTTTTAATCATTTGAAAAAGACAAGAAGTGTATTAATGAAAAGATTAAGGATGACTGAATTTCCTCGCACCAAAATATCTTTAATATCCATGAATTCGACCTCGTAATTACTTCTGTTTAACATGTAAGACAGTAACGGGGCCATACTTACTAATTCCTAAACAAAACAAATAACTATCAATTTCAGTTAAAACATCTTTTTGAAAGCAATTCCATTTTGATCTAAAGATCTCAAATGATGAAGAATTCAGCTACACGCTGCAGAAAACTGTTAGGCAGTTCTTCATTCTATGAAAAAAAGTTTGCCTTTTAAACACAGCATTGTGTTATTTTTCTTTTATTTTCCCTACACTGAATTGTCATTATTATCATAATCATTTAATTGATTCCTGACAGTTACATAAGATTTTAGGTATCCCCAGCTTAGGCACAGTATTGTTCCTCATTATTGACACTTTTGATAAGAGGGGTTACAAATGGGAACTCAATCTCAAGTCAAGTTACCAGAAAAACTTTTGGTGTTCTGTAAAGTAAGCAGCACACTCCATCAGTGTGGATCATCTCTCCTCCAATGAGTGGGATTTTGTGTTTTCAAAATGTCATGGACATATTAAAAAAAACACATTAAGTCCTGGACAAAAATAGCTAAAACTTTTAAATTGTTTCCTGTAATTGTACTTTTTCCCTTTTGAACTTGTAACTTCAAGAGGATAGACACTTGTGCCTGAGGCAAAGAGTTACTCACTGTGAACAAGGAAGCAAAAATCTTTCCACATCAGCAACAGAGTAAGCTTTGTGAAGCCTTCTGCATCATATTCCACTACACCACTATCAACAAGAAAAACAAAACATCAATACAATTTTTAGCCAGCATCCATCCTAACATTGAACGAGAAATATGTAAATCCAAGAATACAGTGTTTGATGCTTTTTTCATTTGTTCAGAAGGTTCCAATGCTTACTTTATTAACAATTACAATTCTCTAACTAAATTTAAGCTGTGGCCCTGGAGTTTCTTATCCAAAGGAAGGTTATATCCAATACATAAAATATATATTCTGAAATGAAATTAGACCTTTTAATGCATCTGCAGTACTAAATTGGCAGTAACTGTACATATGCAGGTTTCCTGCGTGTTATCAGTTTACAAAAATTTATTAAAATTAAGTTAATGGACATGGTAAAATTGAAACTGTGCAGGCTGAGAAGGGTTTAAATCTGAAAAATAGAAAGAGCTTATATATACAAAAGTCACAGCATAACAATATTAAAAAATAAATACATAATGCTTGTTCAGTAGTCATTAAAAGTCAGCCAGCAGAGGAAGGTATTTTCTAAAAGCCTGAAGCAGAATCAGACTACTGAAGCACCTCATGAGTGAAATAAAATCACAAATGTATCTGGTTTATTTCTGTTCTGTAGTTTGGATCAAATAATTCTCAGAAGACAAAAAATCATTTTTCACACAGATTAAGTCTTCATCTGTGTCTACTCACATATCAAATTCAAATTACTGTTATCTATCTTATAGCTGTACAAAATTTGGTTGCCTACTAACAAACAGTCAGTAGGCAAACTTCCTATACTTGAGAGACTGGGAATTTGAAGGGCTCCCCAATATTCATGTAATTTTTTTAAATTGCCACACAGAAGCATAAACTCCCTTCTCCCAGGGAGGCAAAGCATTGCTGATCAGGTACTAGCTGTCTCATCAGCTTCTGGACTCTTGCTCAAGTCAGAATTTGGGTAGAAAACTGAGATGTCAACCTTTCACAGCTCTACAGCACCCCATATTAGATGCTTTGTGAATGTAAAGTCTAATTGTGCTCGGCCGTGGGACCTTCGAACTGCAGGAATTCATGACTGAAAAAATCTTTCTCTCATGAGTCCCAGTATTGCTTGAATGGGGAACAGCTGGTCTCCAGTCACGACTTTATGTCAAGCAGTGGTTTCTGGCTCCTGAAAGTCTTGGAACCATACCCTACTTTTACATTGTCCCACTTCAGTCACTGCCTATTATTGAAAGAATCTCTCCAGTTCTTTATTTATCAGCAAGCACACTCCTTATGTCCTTTTCTCACAATCAGCTGTTTTCAGAGTAATATCAGATCAGCAACTCACACTGGAGTGACACTTCATTGGAACCTCATTCCATAGAGAGATTATCCATCCATTATTCTGTGGGAGTGACCAGACTTCATCCGGATATTGGCAACAGAACCAAAGACCATGTGAATAAAATAACACTTTCCCCATGCTGCACAAAATAATGCATGAAAAAAACTTACGTTCCAAAGTGACTCAGGAAGGCTGCGATATACTCTCTCCTCTTATGGTATCCCTGAATAACATATTGTACCTCAAAAAAAAACAAAAAAAGAGAAGCTATAAAAACAAACAAAAGTTAATCTGTCATATATCCCTTCTTAAGGAAGACTTAGAAGGTTCTGAATCTGAATCCCACAGTTAGCTTGCATGATTTTACCAAAGAAACCTAAAATGCTTTTAAAACAAGTAGTGGATTCCAGCACAGCAAAAATCTTGTAAAGACATCTCTTCACTCACTTCTAAGTAAAACTCAATATTTCACAATGTACTGAAGAGCTGTTTCAGTAAGCAAAGTAAGGAGTGAAAAAAAAAAATGCACAAGCATGCCATGCTGAAGTTTAAGAAGGGACTGGTGATAGGCAAAATGTAATTACCTGATGCGATGGCTGGCGAAGAGTCAAAATCAAATTTGGGTTGTAAAATACATCTATATCTATATCGATATCTATATAATTTAACAAAGGATCTTGCATGTTTTCAGAAAACTGCACCTCCAACAAAATCTTCTCAACTCTACACTTTCTCTGTGGTTTAATGCTGACCCAGTGAGCCATCTACTCAGTGGAGAGTATCAATTACTGAGGCATTCTATGTTTTGAAAGACTTCCATCCTGACACAAGCAAAATCCAACAATCCTAAAATTGGAAGACTTAAGGCAAAATCCCCCTTGCATCATAGATGTTTTCTTATTGATTTGAATGAGATTATTTAGCAGAATACTGTGAATAGGGTTTGACCCATAACAGAAACGGTGCAAATGCTGCCAGGCTGAAAGAGCATCTGGTTACTTTGGGTAGTTACAGTATGATACAGTACATGACTCCTCATGTCCTTTGCCTTCCAGAATAAAAAATAGTAATTCCAAACCTTTTTTTCTTTATCAAACATGACAGGAATAGGAAGCATATTTTTCTTGGCTATAGTAATATTAGAATTCCTTGACCAGCAAATGCTTTCCTAAAGTTTTTGACAAACTCTTAGCTCTCAGCAATGACTGTACTGTCTTGTACCCCTTAAACTATTCTATTTGTAAATCAAGATTTATTTTGTTTTATAAAAAAGTTGAAATTATTTTGAAGGTTTTGTGTGGGATCTGAAATGTTATTTTGGGAAAAAGAAAACATATGATAAGTTTGTTCAAGAGACTTTGTTTAAAAAAGGATAAAAACAGTACTGTGCATATGCAGATGGTCAAAAGCAAGAAAAATAATTTTAACAGAAAACCACAACAAAAGCAACTCTAAAGATAGATTCCAATCTAATTATGGAAACATAGTTTGAGGAATTTTTTCTAAAAGATAAAATTATTTTCCTCATTTGCACAAGGGTAAAAACCATATAGAGATACAAATAGGAAATACGTAATAGGAAGATTCCTAGATTTGACCCCTAGGCTTTGTATTGAAAAATACACTTAAACAATGGAGAAGCTTTCAAACTATTGTACTCTCTCTTTTTTGTTTAAACAGCACACTAGCCAGAACACAACCTTTTCAGTCTATGCAACCTTAAACAGCTATTACTGCATAAATATCCAAGCAGGCAGCTGATTCTGCTCTTTTGGATGAGAGGAAAAATCATCAAATCCTCCCTCGAGCACTCAGGATATACAATGATTATGATGTGAACACTTTGCTATCTTCTGACTAGAAAAATAATTTGCGAACCATTCATATTCACTAGCAAAATGATATACAATACAGTATTCTATGATACAATAACATTACATTTTGAACTGTAGCATTTCACAGTAAAAAAATCCACACTAGGATCATTCACCTAAAAGATTCATTATATTCAGTGCACTGCTTAGGTACTCAACTCTTACCAAGAAGTTATTCATTGTATAGATCACCTCAAACATGCCCTACTACCTAGCAGAAGGAAAACGATCCCAGGAAATACTGCAGTGTGTTACTGCTGCACAGTACACTACATCAGGGAAAGGAAAATTGAGTTATCTTCAGTAACTTACCTTGTTTGTTAGTAACTGGCATACTTGGGGCACATAGTCGATTAGACAACCTCCACCCGGAAAGGCTGGGATGTGAAGGGCAGATGATCCTCCAAGCGCACTACAAAGAGAAATTAGTTTAAAAGTACATCACATATACAATCCCTGAGACTTTGAAGTTATTGCTACAGTGGCCTCTTGCTCCAAACTTAAAGGCAGGGGGGCATAATGTGGAAAATCTACTTTGTTTTGCAATGATACAAGAAGTACTGAGTGATACCATCTATTCACTGTAATTCTTCAATCAAGAATATCACTAACATAAAGCATGCTCTCAGGAAATATTTTTCATTACAATTTCTCAGCCTCTTCAATCAGATGCACAGTTGAGATACCTTCCCATATATGGATAAGAGGATTTTGATTGAATTACTCAAAAATCCACCTTCAGTCAAAGTAGCTAAGCTTAAGTGCAATAATGTAGACTGAAGAGTAATAAATGGCCAAATGCAAATGTCAGCTGTGCCACTCATTCCAATTTTGGTCCTCCCATTACGAAATGTTACCTACTAGACCAAATCTAGTGGCAGCCAAGAAAGATTGTATGTGATGTATGAGGAGAGGCTGAAAGAAATGGGCTTCCTCAGTCTTACAAGAAGGTTGAGGGAGAAAGGGTATCTGAGAGGAGAGTTGAAGGCCTATTGTTACTGGAGGCATACTGATATTGAAGACATATTGATGCCTTCAAGTATCTAATGGAAAAAGAAAGAGAAGATTGAGAAATAATCCTCTCAGAAATACACAGTGATAGCATGAAATGCAGTGGAGATATGCTATCACAAAGGAAGCTCTGGTTAGCTGTTAGGAAATAACTAAAGAGTAGAAGAGGGGTCCATAAGGCCTGGGGGCTCTCTGTTTTCAAGGTGTTCAAAAACCAGCCAAACAACTGGCCTTGCTTGGAGAAAGGGGTTAGCCCAAGTAATCTCCAAAAGCTGCTGCTGTTGATGAGAATATAAACTCTTTCAGCATGGAAAGATCTAGCACTTTTAACTTAAATCAGGTTGTATAAGCAACAACCAGCTACAGTCCACACTACTCTCTTTCAGTCGTTTTGACCTAAGATTTTCTTAGAGCCTCTTACCAATCAAAACAGATAGGAATTTCCATTACGCACCATGGCTTACAGCATGTACTAAACATCCAGAATCTTGTTGGGTACAATTAAAAACCTAAATTACTTTGTGGCCTCTTGTTTACATGCTGCTACCATGAAAGATTAAACTGCCTGCAAACAAGGATCTTCTCTGCAAAACAAGGCTCCTGCTCTCCAGTGGGACCTGCCCTTGTATTTTCCTCATACTCGATAAGGTATCACTTTGCCAGGTACAAAGGTCTGCAGTCATACACCCCTTAGAAGGAACAGAGCCTAAATAAATAAAAAAACAAACTTGCAATGAGGTATATGGAAATCTGCTACTCAGGCAAAACAGTCTGGGTTCAGCAGACTGCTCACCACATGGAACAGTTCCGCAGGTCTGGGTTTTGCATATGTAGACATGAAAGAAAAGCCTTGAGTACACTACAGCTACATAAAAAAGAAAAACAAAATAACTCACTTTTCTAGCAGAAGTTATGCTTTTAATTATTATTATTATTATTATTATTTTTAAATTCAGTTTCCTTACTGCTATCCACTTATTGGAAATATACACAGGGGAATGTAATTTTGTTACGTGTTAATGTAAAAACAAAACACCAAAGCATGACTATTAGATTATTAATAAGTTGTAACACTTCTGAAACACTTATTTGCTCTTACGATACTAAAAGCATCCTGGGTTCATCAGTTTTTAACAGTGGAGAATGAAAGACTTGTCCCTCCTGACCAATGGGCTGTGAACCTTACTTTAAGACGTTAGAATTGAGTTCATAAAAGACTCCAATCTCATAAATAGAGCAAACAGTACTGTCCATTTTGCATCCTGCCTTGCCTCATTTGTAAACAAGTCCATGTTCCCGCTCCAAACCAAGATTCCATTAGAAATACTCAGATGACTGCAGAAGAAATTACAGGCTCCTCCCTTCATTACAATGGCAGGTATGAAATTAGGAGTAATTGCTATCAGATTTCAACAGAAATAAATTTCCAGTCCTTTATTACCAGCTTCCAATACATCTTTCAGAGTGAATTACCATGGTTTATGGTTAAGGGCTTCCCATTTTAGCTATACTCATATTCTGAAAGTAGTCAATTCATTTATATATATATATATATATATATAAATATATATATATACAGACTGACACAGACTGACTGGCTTTTGAGAGAGAGAAAGAAGGCTGGAATTTCTAGTGTAATTATCCTCTGAAAACAGAATAAAGCAGTGCAAAATGTAATTTGTGTTCTGTAGAAATAATTACAGGTAGAAGTATCTTACTTCTTATGGAAGTAAGAGCGGACAGACATCTTTGTTCCTTCTTTTGGGTCAGACACTTTACTTATTAAATATTTTAATAAAATATTGCATTTGCACATGATCTTGCCTCCAAAAATTTCAAAACTTTCTATAAACATTCAATAACACCAAAGAAAACTATTGCCCAGAGTAGGATTTGACCATGCCATTCTATGTCTCTGCCATGTCAAAGGACCACACTCTCAGCACATTTTAAGCATGAAACACAGCAACAGGCTATCCTTCCTTTGACCCGATAATAAACCTGCAATTGAAGACAGAAATGATTTCACGTCAAAATAAAAAATAAAAATAAAAAAAAAAAACACACATAAAAAGTGTAAGGAAATACATAAAAAGGAAAAAAAAAGGAAAAAATGAGGAAAGCGAATTTCACAGAATGGCTTGGGTTGGAAGGGACTTTAAAGCTCATATAGTTCCAACCTCCCTGCCATGGATGGGCAGGGGCTGCCCCTCACCAGCTCAGGCTGCCCAGAGCCCCATCCAAACTGGCCTTGACACCTGCAGGGATGGGGCATCACAGCTTCTCTGGGCAACCTATGCCAGCATCTCAACACTCTCTCAGTAAAGAATTTCCTCCCAACATCTGATCTAAACCTTCCCTCTTTCAGTTTAAAGCCATTCCCCTTTGGCCTATCTCTATCAGAACATGTGTCAGCCTCCCTCCTGTTATAAGCTCTCTTATGTACTTGAAGGCTGCAATAAGGTCTCCCCAGAGCCTTCTCTTCTCCAGGCTCAATAAGGCCAGCTCCCTCAGTCCGTCTTTATAGGAGAGCCCTCTGATTATCTTCCTGGCCCTCCTCTGGTCCGACTCTGACAGCTCTATGTCTTTCTTGTGCTGGGGGCCCCAGATCTGGATGCAGTACTTGAAATGGGGCGTCATGAGGTCACAGAGTAGGGGTGGATGGTATCTAATGCTTTCTAATATCCCCCAAAGCCTAGTTAAAAGAAAGAATATAGGAAAAAAAAATGCTGTTTGAAATCTGGTAGAATCTAGGAAATTCTTTGCCTGGAGATCCCACCAGTGCAAGCTGAAGATTCCTGCAGTTCAGAACTACCTTTCAGATAGCAAAGCCTCTTAGACAAATTCTACATAGTTTTGTTTGTATCTAAGCTTTCCTCTTGGTATAATTGTTGTACATTCCTCACAAATACAACACAATTTTTATACTCAGAAAAAAAAAAAACGACACAACTGTAGAATTACAGCATTAGGTTTCATAACATTCATCTTGTCAAGAAGATGGGAAAAAAACTATCAAGAATTATGACAAACAAACTGCTTTTAAACAGACAAATTAACACATTTTGCTCCCCTACAGCTGCTGGAGTAAGTCTAGTTTCAGAACAGCCAATCAGAATTATGTTGTTTTTTTTTTTCTTTCCAATAGACTGCTACTTTATAATAACTAGAATTCTAAAAGATCCTGATAGTAACTTTCTGTACCCTATTATCATTATGAAACAACTGTCTAAGTGGATGCTGTTTTATTAGGACTGTACTGGATGAAGATAAATACGTGGCAGATCCACCTATCTATGAGATAAGAATGCATGAACACGTTGGAAGGCAGAGACTAAGATCTGTTGGCCTCATCATTTTATTCATTTGCTGTTACACTGAACCTGCTCAGCTCTGCAAACCAACTTCTTACATCTGTTTTTAAGATAGATCAGAGCCTCTGTTGCAGCAAGTTCCTGCTTTCTTGGGTTTCTACAGTGTCACATGCAATGGGATTCCGATCACTTTTGGCAAATCAAACCGGATTTTGTGATGGACTCCATAATGAATTCAACAAGAGCAGCAGTCAGCCTACATTAATAGTAGTTTTGTTCTGTGACACACTGAAGTACAAGTGCAGACAGCATAGCTGGAGTATGTTTACATTTCTGCTGTTGACTGGTGCATTCCAAGTGACTCGCTCTGTCTGTCTCTCAATGGATCTATTTATTCAAGCCCACATTTAAAATAAAAAAAAACCTTTCCCATCTCTCGATAGCTTGTAATTACATTAAACTATTTCTCAAGAACTAATCTTGAAAAAAGACAGCATTTCAGAGGTTTACAGAAGTGACTGTTGTTTTCCCAGAGTATCTAGCTAACCAATTAGTTCTCCTTCCTTACAAAGATCACTTTACTGGGGAAGACGAGGAGTGCTTTCAAGTTGCAAACTTTGCTAGGCAAAGCAGCATTAAAGGCATGTTGGAAGATGATCCTAGTCCCTTTCCTAATCCACTCCCTTCCTTACAACTTCTCCTATGCTCTCTTGAGCCTGTAAAGCTTCCCTGAAGTCCTTTCCTTCACCTCCCTTTCCTCTGTAATCCATTCTGCTGGCCCTTTTCTTGGAGCAGAAAAATGCATGCAAATGTTTCTTCGCATCACTGGGACGTTTTGAAATGAGTCTGAAAACGAGACTTATTGCAGACCATTCCCCATGTCTTGTAGGGCTCTGCAAGAATACCAGTATCACAGTCTGTAAGCTATTCACTAACACACTGCAGACAAGCACTCATATATGTCATACTCTCCATATATTTTGCCCTAATGGCTTTTATCTCTTACCGTTCCCCACCTCCAAAGCTCCACAAGCTTTTCTTTGAAAGAAGTATCACCATCAAAAGGATACCTAAGGAAATTTCTCAG